GGGGGGTACACGCTTGAGAGAGGCTTTCTTTTCCTGATTCCCCAATTGCTGAGAGCAGAAGAGATGGAGGCAGGGCGAGCAGATGGCTGGCGACCTGTGTGCTGTGAGTTTTGATGCGCACGTGCTGGGACTGCACAGCTCTGAAGTGCAGAGCCCGGCAAGAGCCAGCAGGGCTTTTGGAGAGACCTGGGTGGGGCGGCAGACCAGTACGGCACCCCCCACTAGGGGGTGCTCCAGGCAGGCGCCTAAATTTGTCTATGGGTGGCTCCGCCCTGCTCACGTGCGAAAACCTCCCCGCCTTCTCCTGGCTCCTGTTTCCCCCGTGGCTTTCCAGCGTCCTGGTTGCTGCTCTCTAAGGGTGAGCCAAGCAGGACCCTTCGCGCCTTGTCCCCCAGCCGCGCGAGGAGCACGTTAGCCTCCAGAAGGGCCGGGAAGGCGATCCTTAAAGAGGCACGGCCACCCGCGCCCCACAGGGGCGAAGCGGGAGCTGGCAGCCCGACGGGAAAGCAGAGGGCAAACCCCCTCCCGATTGCCCTGTGGCTTTCCAGCCTGGTCATTGCTGCTCTCTCTGGGAGAGCCAAGCCGGACCGAGCGTGCCAGACCCTGCTCGGCTGAGTCCCCGGCTGGCGTCCTTTCCCTGCTGTCCCGAGGAGAATCCGTACCCCTCCCCCGGACTTCCGTCTCTCTAAGGGCGCAGATTCCTATTCCCACGCTGGTCGCGCCCTCCCTTGCCGCCTCCTCATGTCTGCAGTTTGGCGATCCATTGGAATTCCAGGAGAACTCCAGACCCCCACCTGGACGTTGGTATTGAACCGGGAGGCGGAATATACCCCGAAATTAGTCGACTGCTCACAAAAGAACCGGGTTCTCTAAGGCGAGCTCTATCGTCCTCTTCGTTCCTAGAGAGTCCCCCGCTATCGCTCTTTTCCCTCCTGTCTTTCTCTCGCGAGACGTGCCGCTCTCGTGGCCTTAGTCGCTATGGTCGCCGCGATGCCGAGCCGCCGTCCCGCCTCCGTCCCGCTCCGCAAGCGACAAATGTCGCAGAGGCGCGGGCGCCGCCGCCCGCCCGCTTCCGTGGCTCGCTGTCTCCCTCCGGCCAGCGGTCCAAGCAGCGGGGGTGGGCCGGACGGGTGGCGCGATTTTGCCGCCTCCTTCGTCGCTGCCGGCCTAGTGGAGGCGCCAGAAGTGGAGCAGCCCGCCGAGGAGGAGCCTCTGACGGCCGTGGAAGCCAAGGGAGGCAGCGCGGTGCTGCTTTTGCCTCAAGGGCGGGTAAGGCGGGGCGGGGCGTTATTTTGCTGTATGCTTTTGAAGGGTCTGGTGAAGGAGCTCTTATTCGGAAAGGTTCAGGTACCTTTTCTGGTTTGAATTTGCTGGATAGTCTCTGGGAGACACTCTTACAGAATGGGGAGGTGATCAGTGTTCCCTCTAAGCTGAGTTAGTGTGAACTAGCTCAGAGTTTTTTTAGCCTCCGGCTCACACATTTTTGTTTTAGCTCAGGGAGGAGGGCTCCAGAGCAAACTAACTTACACAGTAGCCAAATCGCTTGCTCATCACTTTAATGCCAGTCGCTCACAAAGTAGAATTTTTGCTCACAAGACTCCACAGCTTAGAGGGAACATTGGAGGTGATGCTGACCTGCCTGAATATGGACCCTGCACAGAACAGGGTAGTGTTATTGACCTACCTGAATATGGACCCTGCACAGAATGGGGTAGTGATACTGATCTACCTTAATATTGGCCCTGCACAGAAAGGGGTAGTGATATCAACCTCCCTTAATATTGACCCTGCACAGAAAGGGGTAGTAACACTGCCCTACTTTACCTGGCCCACCTTCCAGGGTTGTTGTAAGGACTGCAGCAAGATAACACTTGCAAAGTGCTTTTGATGTTGGACGTTCTCCGTTCCTCTTTATGTTATTTTTGCCTGGATGAGTGGTATGGGGGTTGTTGTGTTCATGTACCTGTATGCACTCTTTGGTTTCTCTTCCTCTGGCCCCAGAGTGCCCTGCCCCACAGTTGCGATTCAGAAAAGGCCATCTTCTTAGAGCAGTGCAGGCAAAAAGGGATTTGCTGCCCCGATGTTCTTGGAAACCAGATCCCCCAGAAGGGATGGGCTAAAGAGTGGCAAGGATAGTGGTGTGCATATGTGTGGAGTTCAGCTGGGTGCGCATAAGCCTTGTTTTCATTTGGGGGTAAAACTTAAGGAGTTGTATTTAGAAAGTGTTTGTGGGGGGTGTAGATAGCATAGCTGTAGTGAACATCCATCCTTTGCAAGCAGTCCTGGAGTATAAGTGCTTAATATTTATATTTTGCACATTGGTATCTCAGTGTCGTCAGCAGGGAAGAGGGATGAGCTCGCTTAGGATTTCAGGATTTTAAAGCATGTCCAGGAGAAGCTGGTGAGGGTTTTGCTAGGTAGTTTCAAAACAACCTTTACGAGCTGCTCTACATAATGCTGCTTCAGTATAAGAAACACCCATTAGTCCAAAGCAGGCCTGCTGCTCTATCAAAGGAGCATCATAGAACAAGCAACTTCTTCGAAATCTATACACATGGGGGGGTTGTGTGGGATGATCCTTGACTATTGTCTATATAGTTCTGTGTGGCTGTCTAGTACATTTTGATCACATCATTCAAGTTCAAAACCTTTATTGGCATAGATCATAATCATACAGTCGCCATTCAGTTCATGGATTTGACACACAGCTTCCTCATTACAAGGCAGTTACAGAACTTGGCAACCGCTTCAATAACCGCTATATTTTGTGAAGCCAATAAACGATACAACCTTCTGTCATCGGATTGCTTGGCATCTTTATTATGGCAAGGTTCTGCCTTGCCTCTGTAAGCCGCCCTGAGCCCATTGGGGAGGGTGGGGTATAAATGTGAAAAAAAAAAAAAAAGAATAACTATCACATCATTCCTACAAAGGAGGCATTTTGCCTGTGTATTCTCATGCTCATCTTGGGAGGCAGGATGAGGATTTGAACCAGGGTCTTCCACATCTCGCCCAGGCTAGCCTGATCTCATCAGATCTTGGAAGCTAAGTAGGTTCGGCCAGGAAGTTCAGGTTCATGATGCAGAAGGGAGGCATTGACAAACTACCTCTGAATGTCTCTTGCCTTGAAAGCCCCATGAAGGGTCGCCATAAGTTGGCTGTGACTTGAAGGCACTTTCCATCTCCCAGAACACTCTAATCGTGATGCTGATGAAAAGCTGTATTTCTTTGTGAACAATACATGTTCTTAGTAGCTTAGGCTCTTCGGGTAACTCACCTTTTGCAGCTCCCTTACTCTCCACCCCACTCCTTGCTTCTCATCTTCTGCAGGCCCTGACATTCAATGGGAAGTGTTGCTTGACGTGCCTCTATGGGTCCGTGCGAGTGTTTGGGTTCAACATCGTTCCCGATCAGCCCCCATACAACCTCTTTTCCCCTCACACGCACTGTGCCCTCTCCATTGAAGCTGTCGCCTATAAGGAGTCAGAGAAATCCAAGAAAGAGTTGAAGGGGGAGGCCAGGTCCATCCTGAGAGCTCACCTTGTGCCACGAGGTAAGTAAGTGTTGTGGTCAGGTGTTTCAAGAATTCCTGCCTTTGTGAGAGGAAGCAGAAGGTTTGTGGAGAGGCACGGGGCACTTTTTGAGTGTGTGCACCAACTTATGGTTGCCATTGAACATTTGGCTGCAAATGGGCATGGCTAGGCCCTGTGCCCAGGTTCTTTCACCATTTGAATCCCGTTTATCTGAAAGCAGCTAATCTGGTGTGGGCTGCTTCAACCTTAGGTGGCCCAATTAAGAGAGAAGGCTGGTTTCAACACAAGCATTGTAAAAGCTGCTGGTCTTATGGTTGCTAAGTTGGGGAGGGTTCAGCGGTGCTAAGGTGGAGTTTGGTGCTGATTATTTCATGTGAATTTAAATCCTGCAGCCTCCCCACCAGACACTGGTTCATGATGAAGGTTACAAATAGCGTTTTTTTAAAAAAAAACAGCAACTATGAATCTTCAGTTAAAGTATTATGTGGCTAGTCACAAGGTAGGTGCTTTTGATATGTGAGGTCCAGGAATTAACAGTGTGAGAGCCAGTGTGACATAGTGGTTGGAGTGTTCAGCTATAAAAATTGCTGGATGGTTGTGGACAAGTCGCTGTCTCCCAGCCTGATCTCTTGCTGTGAGAATGAAGGTGGGGGATGCCCTAAATTCCTTAGAAGAAATACAGGATGTGAATGCAAAGGTTAACAAGACTGGGGGAGGTCCCCTCCTTGAGATCCTACAGGCCAAGATTGTCTGCACTTAGGCTGCTGGCCCTGATGGAATGCAAAGGCCCCATGACAGCTGCGTATTGGTACAAAGCAACTTTTGCTGCCTTCGTTTTCCACTTGATTTGTGGCTTCATCCATTGTCTTTCTTTCCAGCTGCAAGAATCAAGCTGATGAAAAGCTTTGTTCCGCAGTGTTCCATGGTTCTGTTGGAACATCTGGAAACTCCAGCGACAAGGTTAATTCTCAGCCACATAGAATTTTCCCGTGTTTTCACAGCAAAGGTGAGTTCCATCTACTTCCTGGTTATTTACACTATTGCTATTATTGAAAGGTGACAACTGCTTGCAGGCAGCTTTGGTCATACCGAGGCAAAGTAAGAACTGTTTGGGCAAGGTACTGTCTCTGTTTAAAATTACTTCCCTTCAGAATATGAGTTGTTTGCATTTCAGCAAGATCAAGCCATTTTATGCCTGGCTGCTTCTCACAGTAGTTGGAAGTCCTCTTGATTTTAATTGAGGCTTCGTTACTTTGGAACTGTCATACTAATTGTTGGGTTCTACCAGTGCTGCCTTCCCTGGATTTATTGGCCTTCTTTATGTTGTCTTAACCTTATGCCAGAACTTTACATTCCTCTTGCTATTTGGTTATAGCTGCCTTTTAGCAATTAACATTATTTAACAGAAGCATATGCTGTGCAAAGTTGACAGGGACTGCTTGCTAGTTTGCTTCCACATATAACTCAAGGCAGTAGTGCTAACCTGTGAGTCTCCCAGGTGGTTTAGGGTCAGTGTTCTCATGGGAATGCCTTCTCCATCTGATCCCCTTGCCTTTTGTGGCTCTTGGACAAGGCTATGATCTGTGTTCCCTTCTTTGAGAACTGAGATTAGTAGTTGTGCAGCCCCTTCCTATTGGACACAAGTGAAACAGTCAACCGTGTGTTATTGTGTTCCCCTTTGTATAGGGGCATTTGATCTCTATACACAACTTTGATCTTACCAATTTTTCCAGGTGGCCAGATTTTGCATCTCGGCGTGCTCAACCAGGAAGCAGATTTTTATTAATTATGTCTCTACTATTGAAATCAGCCAGAGATGTGGCTTCAAATTTTTCTTTTGTGTAGATGTGCCGATGACTCTGACTGTGTGTCGATCTTGGCTGATCTGCGATCATAACGAATAAAGATTGATTAGTAGTTGGGCAGAGCATTTTTTTGAAATTGCTGCACACCTACAAACATAAGAAAAGCTTGGTTGGATCAGGCCACTGGCCCATCCAGTCCAACACTCTGTGTCACACAGTGGTGAAAACCCAGGAGCCATCAGGAGGTCCACTAGCGGGACCAGAACTCCAGAAGCCCTCCCACTTTTGCCACCCAAGCACCAAGAATACAGAGCATCACTGCCCCAGACATAGTGTTCCATCTATACCTTGTGGCTAATAGCCACAGATTGGTTTATCCAATCCCCTCTTGAAGCTGAACACTCTGGCTTCCCCGTAAATGTGAAGCTCTATATATTCCTTTCTCAGTAGGCATCACACCTCGCTCTCCTGAGGGAAGCCTAAGGCAGCTAAAAGCCTCAGAATGGCCACAGGCATTCTCTTTTACGCTTTCTTTGTTTTGTTTTTGCTGAAACTTTCCTCAGAGGAATGCTTCTTCATCCCCAGAAAAAAAAGGTTCCCTGCTCCACCCCAGAAGATGCGGCCCTTGCTTCTACCAGCATTATGAGGCAGGATCCGGGGAATGGCCTACTCTTGTCAGAGAGCTCGCTTTCAGCCATTGGAGAGTTGGTCCAAGCATGCCAGGGTGAGTAACTTTTAGATGTAACCAAAATGCAGTGGGATCTGCCTTAAAGTACAATATAAAATTCTGCCTGTCAGTGGAAGCGATGCCACATCGCTTGGATCAACTTTGTCTTTCCTGATGCTAAACCTGGAACGGGACTGCACGGCTCTATCGTATTGAAGATAATGCAGTAATATTTACTTTTGTGTCCTGACCTGGATGGGCCACGCTAGCGTGGTCTCATCCTTGGAAGCTAAATGAAGGAGGAGGAGATTGGATTTATACCCCGCCCTTCACTCGGAGCCTCAGAGCGGCTCACAAACTCCTTCCCCTTCCCCTCCTTACAACAGACACCCTGAGAGAGCGCTTGCCAGAACTGTCCTTGAGAGAACAGCTCTGAGAGAACTTGTGACTGATCCAAGGTCACACCAGCAGCTGCATGTGGAGGAGTGGGGAACAATGTTCCCTCTAAGCTGTGGAGTCTTGTGAGCAAAAATTCTACTTTGTGAGCTACTGGCTTTAAAGTTGTGAGCGAGCGATTTGGCTCCTGCATAAAGTAGTTTGCTCTGGAACCATCATTCCTGAGCGAAGACAGAAATCTGTGAGCTGGAGGCTAAAAAACTGTGAGCTAGCTCACACTAACTCATCTTAGAGGGAACACTGGTGGGGAATCAAACCCAGTTTTCCCAGGTTAGAGTCCACACACTTAACCACTACACCAAACAGGCTCTGGTTAGTCAGCCTTTGTTAGTCCTTGCATGGGAGACCTAGCTCAGGGTTGCTGCATAGAGACAGGAGGTGGCAGGCAGCCTTTGTTCATCTTTTGCCTTGAAAACCCCTTAAGGGTTTGCCAGAAGTTGGCTGCGACTTTGACAGCACTTTATGCACATATATATTAACCTTTGTAAGGTTTCCATGTAAATTACAGTTCTGTTTGTAAGTACCCGCATAAATGCTTGCTTCCTGTGTTAAGGGTGAGCTGTAAGTATAGAGGAACTGTTACTTCACAGGGGTGATACAATTTGGAATATATCTTTTTGGTCTTCAGAGGAAGATGAAGGCTGCCCTGTCATCCTGGTTTGTGGCCCCAAAAGTGTTGGCAAGTCCACTTTTAACAGATACCTGATTAATCTTTGGTGAACCGGTGAGTGACTGTCCTCAGTGCTGTAAAGTTCACAAAGTTGTTCTGGATATTAATAATAAGATCAGTGAGTGACTTGTGATGAATCACAGGGCAGTGCCCGCCCCCTCCCCTTCCCCCTCCCCGAATTCCTCTGCCCTTTGCAGTTGTAATGAAAGAAAAGGCAGTCACTTTCTTTACTGAAATCTTGGCAGTTAGGCATCAGAGGCTATCACGCATGTATTCCCTCACCTTGAGTTCCACAGCCTATATTTCTTTAATATTGTAATTATTGTCCTTTTATTGTATTGATTGGTTTTACTGCATTTTAACTTGTGTAAGCCGCCTTGAGCTAGTTTACACTGGCAAAGTGGGATAAATAAATAAAATAAAATAAGTAAATAAATAAAAGTAAATAAATAAAATAAAATAAGCAGTTACATGCCAGCTGCTGCTTAAATGGGTGTTTTGAAGGTATTTAATTAAGATCCTGTGTGCTTTGATCTTAAATCATCTCTCTAGTCAGTCTGGGAAGTTTTGACAGGGAAGAGTGTCTTACTCTTTCCTCTGCCAGCCTGCCTGTGGGTCAGTGCTGTGCGAAAGAGTTCTTGGCACTTTTTTTGGGCGGAAGTGCTGTGGCGCTTCAGTTCCTTCCCCCACCCCAGATAGCTGAAGAGAATGGGCTTGTAAGTCTCCAGATTCCCTTTGGCTTAACAGTCGCAAGGCAGAGTCTGGACCAATGCTCCCTCTAAGCTATGGAGCTTTGTGAGCAAAAATTCTACTTTGTGAGTTACTGGCATTAAAGTACTGAGCAAGCAGTTTGGCTACTGCATAAATTAGTTTGCTGTGGAGCCATCCTTCCTGAGCTAAGACAAAAATGTGTGAGCTGGAGGCTAAAAAACTGAGCTAGCTTCACACTAACTCAGCTTAGAGGAAACACTGGTCTGGCCATGTGGTTGCTCTTCCCCTCCCCCCCTACCAATTTTTTGTGGCAGTATAGAGACCATGTCCATTCATAACCTGTTTGGGTTTTTTTCTGGGAGGTGGGGCATTGGAGAGTGCCTTAGGCTTCCTCCAGGTATGCAGAAACCTTCCTTCCTTGTCATGGCTGGTCTTCTTGTGGTGCTTTCCTTACGGACACAGAACGCAGGCACTTTCCTCTTAGATGATGCAATTGACCCTTTGTGCTCTTTCCTTGTTTCTCCGAGACTAGATCTCGCTGTTCTCTCTTTTGCAGTTTCTCCTCCAGCCTGGGCTTTCAGATTTCTGGCCTTTATCTGTTCAGCTGTTGTTCTTCTGCCACCTCTTGCACATATAATATTTCATCTTACTGCTTTTGCTTCTTAAAAGCATTTATATCGAGAGAACTTTGTTTTTATAATTCAGTCCCAAGAGAAACCCGTGCCAGTTTGCTTGCTGTACTTTGATTTGAGAAGATGGCAGGTGTTTTCACATTACCAAGAGATAAAGCCTAGTGAATGCGTTCCCTCCAGGCCGCAGGAATCAGAGCACAAAGAGGAGAGTTTGCCGCAGCAGAGGGGGATGCAAAGTGCACCCCCTTTTCTCAACTCCAGTCTCTTTACTTTGGGAACAGGCTTGCTTTTGTTGTCTGTCGGTATCTTATGTGTATTGTCAATAATAGCTCTGTGCATGTAGCGCTTGTTCAGAGACTAGAAAGCAGGTAGCAGAGGTTAGGCTGAGGAACAACCCTTCTTTTTTTTTGCAGCCAAACCATCCTGCTTCTTGTAGTCGAGAGTTTCTGACCAAGAGAGGCAGCTGATCTTTAGCCTGTTCAAATTGTGTTTTCTTTCCTTTGTAGTCTGAGGGTTCCTCTTAAAATTTGTTCTCTCTCTCTCTCTTTGTTTTTTAAACATAGCCTTCCCTGCATTGAATTTTTGGAAGGCGATCTGGGGCAGACGGAGTTCACGCCCCCTGGCTGTATTTCACTAATTAATGTGACGGAACCATTTCTGGGTATGTGCTTTGAAGTGGTTTGCAGAAGTGTGTCAAATGCGTAGCCCCTTGTTCTGTTCTCAGCAATGAGCAAAGCCGCTCTTTGGAACGTCAGCCTTTCTGAAAGAGATGAAACAAACACTGGGGGAGACGATTGCTTTGCTGGTGCAGTGGAGGAAAGCCAGTTACTGGTTGCGTTTGAGAGGCCGGGGATGGTGAAATACTCTTCTATATTTTGCTCTGTATTTTAATTTAACATGGCTTTTGAGTAGTTGCAGTTCCATATGGTCTGTTTCGTTCTAGGTCCGCCATTCACTCACTTGCGTACGCCCCACAAAATGGTATACTTTGGCGAAACCAGTTGCGAACAGGATACTGAAAGATACCTCGACACATTGAAGTATGTGTTTAGTGCCTACGAGAGAGATGTGCCTCTGGTCATCAACACCATGGGATGGGTGAAAGGTAAGCTTGTCAGTCCAGGGAACGTACTGGCAATGGTCATGCCCTTTTCTTAAGGGGAGTTTTGCTTTATACCTCACCTGGCCATGGGAAAGATTGTTCCACGGGGAATCAAGTCTCAAGGTTGTGATCTTATTTTAGCTCCTGAAGCATAAACAGCTGATCTCTTGTCATCTACAAGTAATCAGTCAACGGTTCAGGGCCTTTGGCTAGGAAGTCTTGCCCTCAGTGATATGGGTTGCTCAGCGGGGTACAGACCCTAAGACCCAGTCCCTCTGATTCTGTCACAGCCTCTTCAGCCTCCCTGCCCAAGCATAGAGTCCCTTCTACTAAAGATACTGCATTCCCAGCAAGTCCAAGTCTGATGACAAGTGAACAGTGCACTCTGTTCTTGGGGAGGGTGGGCGAACAGATAGGTAGTGAGCATTGCGGGATCTTCCGCAGTTATGGTCATGAGTAGAGAGCCAGTTTGGTGTAGTGGTTAAGTGCGCGAACTCTAATCTGGGAGAACCGTGTTTGATTCCCCACTCCTCCACTTGCACCTGGCTGGATGACCTTGGGCAAGCCATAGCTCTGATAAGAGCTGTTCTTGAAAAAGAGCAGTTTCTGTCAAGAGCTCTCTCAGCCCCACCTACCGCACAGGGTGTCTGTGGTGGGGAGGGGAAGGGAAAGGAGTTTGTAAGCCGCTCTGAGACCCCTTTGGGTAGTGAAGGGTGGGGTATAAATCCAATCCTTCTTCATGAGTAGCTTATTATGTGCAACATTAGGAATGCCAGCCTCCAGGAATTAGAGCTCATCTACAGACTACAGAGATCAGTCCCCCTGGAGAAAATGACTACTTTGGAGGGTAGATTCTATGGCATTGTACCCCACTGTGGCTCCCGTCCTCCCCAGGCTCCATCTCTAAATCTCCAGGAGCTTCCCAATCTGAATCTGGCAACCCTACCCCCCCCACCCTTCCAGTGGCCGGGGGGGGTGGACGGGGACACCTGGCAATCTTGTGTAGCATAGTCTGGTTCTTATATGTTTGAGCAATGTAGGGCCATGTGCTTCTCCCCCCTCCCCTTGGAGATTTCACCAGATTTGAAGACACGGGCCAGAGCCTCCCTTTGCAACCCCGAAGGCTATTAAAACCATGTCTCGTGAAAGTTGAAATTCTCAAGGTGAGACTAAACCTTTTTCTTTGCTTCTGTGGAATTGCAGAATATACCATTCTGCAGCTCTTGTTCTGGAAACATCTGGATGAGAAGATAATGAAGGGTACATTGAGAGCACCGAGGAGAAGTCTTAGTCCATTAATTGTATTTGCATAATTTGGTTCCAAGTTTCCTGTTTTCGTAGAACATACTAGGTGCCTTGCTGCATCGGGCCAGTGGTCCTTCTAGTCCTGTCCTGCACATTGGCCTGAAGAACCGGCACTGACCTTTTTAGGTAGGAATTGTTAGTGGAAAGTTCAAGATGGTGATTTTGGAAGAAGGAACTACATACAGAGCACTCTTATCCGGGGCTGCATTTCTACAGAAGTGCAGAAAAAGTACATAATCCAGGTTCTTGAGAATTTCAGATTTAATCTTTAAAAGGAATGCTTCCGGTCTATATGTGCACTCAGACATGTTAGAAAGTTCAAACTCAGAGCAGTGGGAAAATAAGGTGTGTGTGGCTGGTTCTCTGTACACCTATGTTTTTGCAGCCTTTCCTCACCACTGAAATCAGAATAGGTTTTTTGAGATAACTTTGCCCACCTATTTGCAAATTATTTCCTGCAGCTGAAGAGATGAGAACTGTCCTTGCTTTGTGTGGGAATGCTGACATTCTCAGGTTGTCCACTTCTGTATGAGATACCGGATTCTGTCCTTGTCAGCCATGCCAGTCTCGCAACACCTGTCCTTATTTCTTCCCCTGTGCTGAAAGGTGCTGGACTGCTGCTTCTGATCGACATTATTCGGCTGTTGTCACCTAGTCACATTGTTCAGATCAGTGCAGACAACTTCAACGACATGCCTCAGCTTACCCCGGAGTATACCTGTAGCTCCACGGGCTTGCATACGAAAGGCAAAGGGCCCCTCAAATGCAAGAGCCTGGAGAATGGGACAGAGGACTTGGAGCTGTGCAGGGTCCAAGGAGACTTCCGCCCACCACATTCTGGGCACAGGCTGCTGTGTGTTCAGCCAGAGTTCCCTGGGGCAGGGATTGCTGGCCATGGGTAAGTAACGAATGAAGGTGGGGATAGGTGCACAGAAAGGAAGGGTGGAGGAAATAGCTTTGTATTAAGTACAAGCAAGTTTTAATTCTTCTCCTGGGCTACCCTGTTTTCTCTTTTCCTACATCTCTGCTGCCCCCTGATCCCATCTCCTCCAAGCACTGGGTGTCCTCAACCCTCTTCCAGCATTCCTGTCTAGAGCACGCTGCAAACTGTCTTGGCAGGTGCTGTGTGACCTCTGATCTGTGCTACACCTAGCAACCCATTGGCTAATCCTAAGAATCATTTTATTTATTTATTTATTTAATCTTATAACCCGCCCTCCCCGCGAACGGGCTCAGGGCGGCGTACAGATGGGGCCAATGCCCAATACATAAAACATTAAAACTGCATTTTAAAAACATTCAGTGCAACATAAGTGCTCTCCCCAACAACTAACAAGGGAACCGATGACGTCACCAGGATGGTATCCTTAGTGGCCACAGTTCCACGCAGTACCACCATTTTTGCACTCACGGCGAGTTGGTAATAAGGGCTAGGACAGATAGTAATAATCGTAGACAGATGGTAACAGTCATGGCGGCTCCTACTCAAACGCCTGGCGGAAGAGCTCCGTCTTGCAGGCCCTGCGGAACTTTTTCTTGCAGGCCCTGCGGAATTTTTATATGCTCTGCATCTTCTCACTCCAGAACCCCTGCACAGTTTTCCCTGGGCTTGATTGGCGTAGAGCCCTTGCCAGCAACTAGTTTTAAAAGCAGGCTTCTTTAAGAAGCGGTGGGAGGGTGAACGTCTGGACCTTCACTGACCCCCATCCACACAGTGGCCTGCCAGCAAGCCCTTCTGCACATCTCTTTTGTCTCTGTGCACTCCTTATGAGGCCGGCCTTGGCCTGAGGCCTCCAAACGCTAATGCCCGGGTTCACAGGAGCAGTGCAGACAGGATGGTTTGCATGTCACATACCTCGAATACTATTGGGAACTGTTCACGTCCCCTGGGGTGGATTGGCCCTTGAGGCCATTGGGGGAAGTCCCGGTGGGCAGGATTGCCTGAGGGATCCCCTCACTGAGGCTACACTGCTGGGGCTACCCTCCCCCAGGGGCTGCTCCTGCCACAAGCGCGGGGCAGCTTCTCCCCTAGGATTGGGCACGGCTTGCCAGCCAGCAGCCTTTGCCCTGCCCGAAGTAGGGAAGGTCGAGCTAGCCCTGACTCGCTCTGTGTAGCGTGCAGGAAAATTCTCCCAGCTCCTCGTGGCAAGCTGGGCAGGTTCTTTCTCCTTCCTCTGCAGGGTGGGCTGAGGCAGGGCCCTCTTTTCCTCCCAGCCCACCCGGTCCAGATCACTTTACAGCGCAGCCCCCCCAAAAGGCTAATTTGTCCAACTGCCTGACGAACGCACCTTCACAATTCTGTTCTTTACAATTGGATCTAAAGTAACGTTTAGCAATAGGAGAAATGTATTCAAGTTATTTTATTTATGTATTACATTACATGTAAAAAGGTAAAGGTAAAGGTTCCCTTGCTCGAAAGCCAGTCGAATCCGACTCTAGGGTTGTGGTGCTCATCTCCGTTTCAAAGCTGAACCAGCGCTGTCCGAAGACATTTCCGTGGTCATGTGGCCGGCATGACTAAACACCAAGTCGCACGGAACGCTGTTACCTTCCCACCGAAGTGGTACCTATTTATCTACTTGCAATTTCTTGCTTTCGAACTGCTAGGTTGGCAGGAGCTGGAACTAGAGACGGGAGCTCACTCCGTCATGCGGCACACTCGGGTCTCGAACTGCTGAACTACCGACCTTCCACAGCCTGCAGTTCAGCGTCTTAACCATTTGAGCCACCGCAGCTCATTGCATTTCATTACATGTATTAATCGCCTAATCCCCATGATTGCGGGGCTCTAGGTGATGTGTACCGATTTTAAAACCGTAAAAACCTAAAAACCATATCCAACATATTATGCGGTGATTAAAAGCAAGTGGTGCACATTTTTGCCGTTCCCTCCTGTATCTGGTCTGTGGGTGCTTTGGGAGCACGGGGAGGGAGTACACCCCACAAGGAACAGGGGTCCAGGTAGGGTGCCAGCTGTGATGTAAACCGTCACTGTCCTCAACCGAACGCCTGGCGGGACATCTCTGCCTTACAGGCCCTGCAGAATTGCATAACATCGCGCAAGTAACTTCTCAAGAAACATATAACATACTTCCTTTGAGGATTACTGTTGTTGGATGCTGATGTCTGATTTCATGAGAGATTAGCCCAATTGAGCCATTCCAGTATGATCTCAGCAGTGTGGGAAAAGAGCCACCCACGTCTGTGTGGTAATGCTGGCAGCCTCGGACCACGTGGGAGTCTTTGTCGCAGCTCCTTCCCGTGCCAGAGCTGCCCCCGCCGCCGTCTCTTCAGGCTTCAGGCGTTACCTCCGACACTGTGGCTGAGGGCCAGGTCTCAGTGAGCTCCCATGCCACAGATATCATGCCGAAAGCAGCCTCGGAGTTGTAAACAGTGGGCAGCAGAACAGAGGCTCCCTTTCAGAATCTAGATGTGGACTGATGCGGCCTCACATGTTGGTGCAGAACAGTTCCTAGCCCACAGCATTGTCAGCAGCCTGCCTGTCCGTTTAGGCATCGGAACAAAGAGAACACAAGGAAACGTTTGGGCAGTTCTCACTTGCCACAGATCCGTCCGGATTAATGCACTGAATCATAATTGGCATTAAAATAGGGCTGTTTTCACCTTGTTCGGATTCTGAAGGCGTACTGGGAATGTAAACACATATGTGCATTTGAGACCTGTGGCACAGACTATGCTTGCAGTGCGCACTCCAGTCTGTGCTGTATTTTGTGTTTCCTCTTCCAGGCAAACCCACAGGAGCGTCCTCCGGGACATGGCAGTCCTGGCATACCTGGGCCAGTTGCAGCCCTCCGACATGGACTTGGTGCTTCCGTTGCACAGCCTGGTACCCTATCAGGTAAAATGCAGGGCCTGTGCTAAGGGCTTGATGAACAGGACTTTGGGGTGGGATTGTAGCTACAGTTTGGTGTAGTGGTGAAGAGTGGCAGGACTCTAATCTGGAGAACCAGTCTCAGTTCCCCACTCCTCCACTTGAAGCCAGCTGGGTGACCTTGGGTCAGTCACAGCTCTCTCTCAGAGTTCTCTCAGCCTCATCTACTTCACAGGGTGTCTGTTGTGGGGAGGGGAAGGGAAGGAGATTGTAAGCCGTTCCAAGGCTCCTTTGGGTACTGAAGAGCGGGGTATATAGCCAGTCTCTTCTTTTTCCTCTTAATCAGTCCGGATTCAGAGTTGAGATCTTTTCCAAGATTGCCGATGCAGGTTGATTTCTTATCATTTATTTTCACTTATTTTTATTTACAGAGTTGATACCCTGCCTTTCTGTTCTCATCAGGCCCACCTAGTTGGCGAACAGATTAAAAACATAATAAAAACACACCCTTACAAAACATTTAAGACCAAAAAAACCTACACACATATCCTGAAAACAGAGCCAAAGCTAAAATACACATACAAAACCATAAAAGCAATGCTTAAAATATCGAGCAGGAGGGAGGAATCACTGAGGGAACTCTAGGCAAAAAAATGTTCACCTGCTGGCCGAAGATGGCAACAGAAGGGGAAGCTTAAGTCTCCCTGGGGAGAGAGTTACAGAACCTTGGTGCCATGACCAAGAATGTCCTGTCCTGGGTTGCCATCTGCCTAATCTCAGAAGGTGGAGGAACCCAAAGTAGGGCATCAGAAGACGAAGGGGTGGTCAGGTAGGTTTGCAAGGGAGCAGGCAGTCCTTCAGGTATGCTGGTCGCAAACCATATAGGGCTTTAAAGGTCAATGCCATCACCTTGAATTGTGTCCAGAAATGGATTAAGGAGCCAGCGTGATTGGGCCGAGAATGGAGTGATATGGTCCCTACAACCCGTTCCCGTCACCAACCTGGCAGCAGCCTGCTGCACCATTTGAAGTTTCCAAACACTTTTCAAGGGCAGCCCCACACAGAGCGCACTGCAGTAATCTAATCTAGATGTAAGCAGGGCGTGTACCACAGTGGCCAGGACTTTCCTGCCCAGGACAGGTGGCTGCTGGCTGACCAGTCAAAGCTGGCAAAAGGCTCTCCTGGCCACAGCTGCCACCTGCTTATCCAGCAGTAGGCTTAGATCCAAGAGCACCCCCGTTGCTTCAAGGGGAGCATAATCCAGAACGGATGGCACCTTAAGTCCTGGGTCAGACCTCTCACTCACCAGTGGCACTTCCAACTTGTTGGGATTAGACTTCAGTGTATCAGTTTTCACCCACTCCAGAACTGCCTCCGGGTACCGGTTCAGGGTTTCTACGGACTCCCTGGGATCAGCCGGAAGCGCAAGATTTTTTGATTGCTGGTGCTGGGCATTGCATCTGCAGCTTTTCTCTGCCAGGCATGTGCTCTGCTGCTGAGCTGTCCACCTCCCCCGAAGTCTGCTGTTTGTCCAGTGGGCAGTATTATATGCCTTTCATTCTTGGCTAGCATGTCAAACTAGCTTCCATTAATTCCCCCCCTCTCCCTGAAACAAAATGACGTTTCTTCCTGACTACATATTCATGCGTTTATTTGTTTTTTTCTAGGTACCCTTCAGTGCCGTCTCCATCAAGGTTATTCATACAGACGTTGCTCCTGCCCACATACTGTATTCTGTCAATGCCAGCTGGGTTGGCCTCTGCCGGCTACCGGAGGAGGTCCATTGTAAAGCAGACAGGCCAGTCTTCTTAACGCAGACACCAATCTGCGATTGCCTGGGCTTTGGTAAGCAGCATTGGGGCTGTCGTACGACTTCATTCTGACTCCGTGTTTTGGAGTCTAGGTTTCATGTGAAGGTCAGAGCAATTGACATGTGGTGTGCCATGGGAATAGTTAAAGAATAAAGTTTCAAACACTGGGCAGCGGTCTTCACATTCCAGCCAGCTTGGGCAACCTGCAAGAGGGCTTGCCACTGCTCTTCCTTGTTTGGGATGGGCTTCTGTCTGCTGTCACAGAGAGTCTCTGGGGCCCAGTGCAGCTGCAGGGGTTCATTTTTAAACAGAGCCTGTCGGTAGTCAGTGTGAGGTCAGGGAAGGCCCTGACCTCTCTCATGCTCCATGGGGGGGGGGGGCTCTCACTGGATTGAAAAACAAACTGCTAGCAGTGAACTGATGAGCATGTTTGTGGAGCCCCACTGTATCTGGGGTTCTCACCTGCAGACAAGATTGCATGGATTCCTGGAACTTGCAGAGATGGCTAAACTTACTTCTTTGATCAGAGAAAAGACATTCTCTACATTTATTGTTAACTGGGAACCCCGTATAGACTTTTTGCATGAAATGGAAAAATATGAACGGATGATTTGAGGATTAAGGAGGGGGGATTGGACAAGAGAAAAAAGAGAGCTGGTTTTCTTCTTTTGTAACTATAGAGTAAATGTCAAGTTTCAGCCAGTTTGGTGTTGGGGTTAGGAGTGCGGACTCTAATCTGGGAAAACTGGGTTTGGGTCAATTACAAGTTCTTTCATAGCTGTTCTCTCAAGGGCAGTTCTTGGGAGAGCTCTCTCAGCCCCACCTACCTCACAGGGTGTCTGGGTTGTTGTGGGGGGGGGGGAGGAGATGGTCAGCCACTCTGAGACTCCTTCGGGTAGTGAAGGGCGGGTTATAAATCCAATCTCCTCGTCTTGTTTGTCGTCGTCTTCATTTGTATTAGTCACAGAGAAAATCGGAAGCCACTTCTGTATTTTCCTTTATATTGTCCTTATCTTTTTATCTTTCCCCCCTTTTTTTCTTCAGCTTTGTACTTCTATTTCCTTTTTCAATATTTTTTGTTAGTTTTTTTCAATAAAAATATTTTTTAAAAAGATTGCATGGATTTCTCTGTGTGCTGATGCTTAGCTCCCTGAATCTCTTCACTCAGGCTCTTTTTCTTCTACACCACCTTTTAATCCTTAATGGGACATAGTTGTTGGCGGTATGTAAGCCATAGATGCTGAAGACTTGGGGACAAAAGGGTGTTTTGAGCTTAGCTTCCAGCAATCAGGAGTGTGGTTCTCTGGCTCGGCTCGGGTCTTAGAGGCACTTTATCTGATGTGCATTGAATTGGGTTTTTCACGTTTGCTGAATGAATGCTGATTAAGAATAAGAGCATGACTGGAATTTGCTACCAGCCGCTGGCGTCTCTCTGGGTTATAGGATACTCAAATTGTGCTATAGACCTTTATTGAACTCAATGGATTAGCTCCCCTGTGCCCCCAGAATGAAGCACATTGCTATTGAGTTATGATTTCTGTTTCATTGCGATGTATTTCTAGAATGTGAGAAACCTTTCCCAAGTGTTTTTGTTTGTTTATACTGCTGCCTTGCTAAAGAACGTAATAACAATTGTAATATGTCCCCTTTTCTGTTTTCCAGGAATTGTCCGGGGGGTGGACATGGACAAGAAACTCTACCATATTCTGACCCCAGTAGCTCCAGAGAATTTACGACTGGTGAATTGTTTACTGATTGGAAATATCCCTGTTCCCAACTGCGTGTTCCTGAACCAAGTAAGGATAAGTTGGACACCCATTAGCTGAACATAAGGGGAAGGTCAGCATGCCTTTAAAAGTGGCACACGGCCTCCAGGTGTGTTCTGACAGCAAGAAACATCTGCTTACGGGGCAGATAACTGAGTCATTTTGACTCAGGAAAATGACCTGAGACTGGAGTCTTTCCTTCCCTGACACTGCAGCTCCAATCCAAATCGGGCCCTGCAGCATTTGGGTAAGTTCCCACAGTTGTTGTGTGGCTTCAGGCCAAGCAAGTCAGAATTCCCCAAACCTGATTTCTGGCCAAGTATATTGTGTAGTTCAGCCTTAGCGTGCTAATGCTGAATAGAGTTGGGCGGAAGCATGGACCTCAGGTTCTAATAAGCTAAGATGCAGAATCTCTGCCCTGACACAGCAAGCTTATTCAATGTGTTTGTTGGAATATAAAAATTGCCGAAGAATAGCTTAGTGGTTAAAATGCTGAGTTGTGAACCTTGGAGGCCTCAGTTCAAATCTCAGATCTGCCATAAACATAATACGTGGCGTTTGGCAAACTACTCTCTCTTGGCCACATCCTGCCATCTGCAGTACGGGAATACTGGCCTTAAAGTATCAGTGTAGGGATTACAACAAAATTACGTGAAACTCTTCATACGCTTGAAAGAGCTGTGGGAATACTTAGTAGAAGTGTTAAGTACTGTAGGGTAGCAGTCCCCAGCATGGTGCTCGTGGGCACCACGGCACTCATTTATTGTCTTTAGAAAGTGGGTTTCGCCAGATGGGGCTTTTGCTAGCAAGGCTTCTCATTGGCCACTTGAGATCTAATTGGCTTTGCAGGTGTTTAAAGTTTTGCTTTGGCAGTAGCTGCCACCACGGCACAAGGTTTTCACTTTGTGACTGCAGGGGAGTGGAGTGTATGCAAGAAAGTATTTTATAAAACAATATGTTCATTTTAAAAGGCATCCTGTTAAACAGTTTTTGCCTTGAAATGTGAAGAGTTCTTATTAGAATTATGCATAACCTCACTCATTGACATTGTGTGGTTGGCTCCGCCCTCTGCAGCAGCCATGGCATGGTTGCACCCACCACCCTGTGTCAGCATTCCAAAGGTGTCCACAGGCACAGAAAGGTTGGTAGGGCATAGAATGGGATCATTGCCACGCAAGCGGCCTTGTGCTTTTCAGAGGTGGGGTAGGATTCAGATGTGGTAAATGAGAGCAGGGCTGTGGTGTTGCCACAAGCCTTTGGAGTAGCAGAGAAAAGTGCAGAATGTGGTATTGGCTTTCCTTTAAAAAAAACTCTCTAGCCATTATGACTACAAGGTATGTATGAAAGCACGTGGCCTCTGCCCACTAAAATCCTAGAAGCCAGGGGCTGGCTGAGCAGCGTTTTCAGAGGCATCAGTGTATTGTATGCCTTATTTCCCTTTTTGCATAATGACTAGCAAAACCAGAATTTTGCCTTGCGTAATTTAACACAGAGAGTCTGTTGCCTAGTTTGGATGGTCTGAGCATTAGAATGTGATTCCCCCTGCCTGTGCAGAATATGCCCAGCCTTGGGTATAAGTCCATGTTGCTTATAATGAGACTGACCATTAGGTCATCTGGTCCAGGATTAGCAAGCAGCAGCTCTTCAGGAGTCCTGGGCAATGCTCCCTTTAAGCTGTGGAGTCTTATGAGCAAAAATTCTACTTTGTGAGCTACTGGCATTAAAGTTGTGAGTGAGCAATTTGGCTACTGCATAAATTAGTCTGCTCTGGAGCCATCTTTCCTGAGCTAAGACAAAAATGTGTGAGCTGTAGGCTAACAAACTGTGAGCTAACTCACACTAACTCAGCTTAGAGGGAACACTGGTCCTGGGCATGAAGTTCTTTCCCCAGCCAAGATGTAGGAGATGCCGGGGAATGACTTCAGAATCTTGTTTGTGTTCCCCCATGTTCTTTCCCTTTAATTGTAAAGCTTGCAGAGTTTTCAATATGAATTGTATTGACACAGCTGCAGCCTGTGCAGTGGTTTGGGATGCCATGAATAACGGCAAGAGAGTGCATTTATCCTACATATGCAGAGAAACTCATAAGCAGGGCATGGAGACAACAGGTCACTTGTTCTTGGCATCTGATGACCAGAAGTGTCACTGCCTCTGAGCTCAGGAAGGTTGCATTGGGCTGTCACAGCTAATAGCCCTTGAGAGGCTTCTCCTCCTCGATGAGTATTTCTAATCCTCTCTTAAAGCCGTCTAAGCCAGTAGCCTCCACGACATCTCGTGGCGACAGATTCCATGCCCTAATCATGCACGGCATGGCAAAGGGCTTCTTTAGTCAGTCCCTCGCACCTGTCACATTGCATAATCTGATTTTCATTAATCGGAAAGGAATAATAATTCCCCCTCTCCTTGTCTTCTGTACATCATTCATAAGAGTTCTCGATAGTCACCCTGCCCCTTTGCTCAACTTTTCCCGTTACTGAAAGGTCTACCTGCATGCCTGCCGGTGTTTTCGTTTTACAGATTCGCAGTTGGTAGCATTTTCCTAGGAGCCGTGGGTAGGGAGAGAAGTGACCCAGACAATAACACGGTCCTTGTTCCCTTTTTTTCAGCCTGGAATTGAAGGGGAAATACCGTATGTCACGGCAGAGTATAACTATGGCATTTCAGGTGCTGGGAAACTGAAAATTAAAAAGCATCTCAAGAGGAGAGAGCACATGTGACCATAAATGCCTTTTCGCAGCCTTGCTGGCAGGGACTGGTTTGGAGAACTTGGCCTGTCCTTAGGGGACCTCCTTCACACCACAGCAAAGTGACAGTATTCACAGCGATACTGCTGGTCCACTGAGTTTTTGTTATATTGTGTTCTTTTTTCAAATGATTTTGAAATTAAACATCTGGTATAAACTCCTTGGTATCGGACTCTTTGTGCTCCCGGGTACAGAATTTCACCCAAAGGTAGCTAGTGAAATCACTCTTATTATTGATTTATCACTTCTGGATTTCTGTGTTCGATCAGTCCCCTTTTTGAAAGTCCACACCACTTGTTAATATTGACTTTTTCTTCTTTCTGCCAAGTCCAATTTAGGTGTCGCAGAGCCAGAAACATAATAGCCTGTTTTTTGGTTTATATTCTTGTTCCCTGCAGGGGGAGCACCATCCTTTCAGAGAGGCCACCAGCTTGGGCGTTTTGGAAGACCTTCGTGCAGATGGAAGCGGCTCAGAGCTCATGTTTAAGAACCCGCTGAACGCCTTGATAGGGCTTTGCATGGTATCTCAAAGAATGCTGGCATCAGGAGATGTCATTGTGCATTGAAAAAGACCAAAAATGAGCTTATAAGGTTTTCATTAGAACAGTGTTTGTAGTGGGCTGTTTACCCAGAAAGCTGGGCAGCAGTGAAAGAATTTAGCTAGAGGAGGATTCGGGCTGCTTTTATTTCTGCTTTCAGGGTTTAACAGCTCAAATGTTTGTCTTTTAGGCAGGGGCCGGGTTCTTGCTCTGGATCCCTGAACAAATAACACCTCAAAGCAAAGCAGGACCGGCTCGTGGGCTGGTACAGGCCCTCCAGAGTTATGGGGTAGCAAGCAACTTTGTAATTCTAGGCACTTGTGTGCATGGCCCTGACCTGGATAGCCCAGGGAAGCCTGATCTCATAAGATCTCAGAAGCTAAGCAGGGTTGACTCTGGCAAGTACTTGGAAGGGAGACCTCCATGCATACACACACATGAAAAAATATAAGAAGCCTGTGTGCATGTGCTTTGGCAGACAGCTGGAAACATGCGACTCGGTGCATGCCTTTGAGGCAATGGCCTCCCTGTAGCGCTCCTAAGGGAGCCTTCCAAGACACGTTTGGAACCTTCTTTTATGGTTTGCAGAGCCCAGCAGGAAGTGCCTGCCGGCTGATGCACCACACACAGATGCATCATGTTTTTGTTCCAGCTGTTGAAAGAGTTCTGCGGAATGGGGAAACCATCCCAAGTAAGGTGTCTTGAATGACAGACCTACCATGCATTCTTTGAGCATGTGTCTTCAAATTAATGCAACAAAGATGCTTGTTTGGTTCCTTTATTTACACCCCCCCCCCCTTTCTCCAAAGAGCACAGCGTGAGAGGCATAGTTTTTCTCTGTTAGGCTGAAAGACAACAACTTGGCTGGCTAAAGGTTGCCCACTGAGCTGAATGGTGTCTTGAACCAAAGCTTGCAAATGCATGCAGCTTTCGGAGTCACGTCTGTGTGGAGTGTGCAGTGTGTGAAACAGCCAGCAGTGTCTCTGTATCTGATGTGCAAACCTTGTGGCTCAAATCTCCCCTGGGGCTGAACGAGGACAGCTACCTCAAAGCTCTAAATCATTTAGGACCTCAAAAACACTTTTGTCTGTTTCCTTGGGAAATCTGTCAGTTTCTCGTTAACTCCTTATTGTCCATGGACAGTGACCTAAACTGGGTAAATTTGGCTTGCGGGGAGCGGGAAAGACAGTGTCGGGACAGTCTGCTGAAAGCTCTTATTGGCCAAGGCCGGCATATGTTGCACCGCTGCCTCTGGAAGGGTTAAACCTGTAGCTGAGTCTGTTCTTAATTCTCCCCATATGGCCAAGTCTGGCAGCACAGAAAAAGCTTTGGCAGGCAATCTACCCTGAACAGTGGCTAAAATAAATATGGGGGCCATCTGTGCCGTAAGGGGGGGGGGGAATCACATGTGAAACATCAAGACGGTCAAGTCTGAAGAGACATACGCTTTGAAAGTGTCTATTTGGGAATCCTGATAACAAAACCTGGGGCTAGGCAAGACTAGCCCTTTAACGTCCTGGGAAAGTTCTGTAGGGCCACTGTCAGCTGGGATCGAACCCAGTGCCGTTGGCAAGGCCACGTGGACTGCTCAGTTTGGGCCCAACCAGGCTTGCCCTTTGCGACCACCACTGCCACCGTGGGCCTGAGCCCAAGCTGAATCAGGCAAACCTCTCCCCATCTTTGTAACCCCTCAGCTTGCTCCTGGATTATTGCCTCCCTTGCTTTTTGGCGAGAGCTCTTTTGCAGCCACAGGCTTTCAGAGGCTGTGAGATGTCAAAGCCGAATAAGCCTTGAATCAGAAACGGTTGCATGGGGAGGGGGGGGGGATGAAACAAGGGGTGCAGCAGCGATGCTTCCCTAGTTGTTTCTGAGTAGCTGGTTGCTGTGGCAACCAATCCTGCTGCCTCCCTGATGCTCAGTGGCCTGTAGCTTGAGTTTTTCTAAGGGACTCCGCTTCACTGACTGATTTTTATTTTTTTGCCTGCTGGGGGAGGGTGGGGGAGAGATTTGTCAGGGAAGAGGACCGGGCAGGCTTGAGGGGAGGTGGGAGAAACGAGGACGATGATGTCTTTACCTGGTGAGGGCTGAGGACGGCAGTGACGCCTGAGTTCGTCCAGGGGGAAGCAGGTGGCAGGCTGCCAGGAAAGGGGAAGGCCCAGACTGGGGGAGCGAGAGCTGAGGCAGAGCGGGAATCCAGTCTGGGAAAGGCGCACGAAACGGACGGCCCCAGCAAGCCGGGTCTAAAATAGGCAGCTCCCGGGGAAGGCCTGGATCGGCAAAGGCATGGCTTGACCCAGGCTGAGTGGACTTTTCTCTTGTCAGCGGCGTTGAAGCGCTTGAGCCAGGCAAATCGCTCTCGCACCTGAATCTGGCACGGGAGTTGGGTTGGGAGAGCGGAGTGGCAGTGCTAACTCCTTCCTAAAGGGAGTTCGGCCCCGCCGGCTGCTCAGGCTGGCCTGGTTGGCGCAGATTTCGAATGGAGCCAGGCCCTCCGCGGTACCGTAACATCCTCAACTGACCAGGCCGCTGCCTCCTTGGGTCGTCTGCTCCGTGAGAGGCAAGGCAATGAATTCGGCTCTGACCAAGTACGGGTCCCCGCCTCGCAGCTGGCTCAACCTACGCTTGGGGATGAGTAAGTAAAGCGGCCTCCTCTTGAGCAACGAAGGTTGTGGAAGGGGTTGGTCCGGGAGCTGCCACTTCCGGGGAGCGGGCTCTTTCTTGCGATGCCGACATCTGTATTGTTTAGGATGCATATCCAGTTGATTCATGCTTGCGGCACGAGCACGGATGCTTTCTCCCGTTACATGTAAAAGGCAGCTTAGTACTTCTGTGGATGTTTAGAAATGAGAAGCAATGCCTCTCAAGTATCCTCAGTCCTTCACTTGCTAAAGCGGTAACAGGGATTATAGAGAAGCGGATTCCAGAAGGACTTTGGTGGCAGGGACTGAGGATTCAGGCCCCAATGGAGCAGGGCCGGACACCTTGTAGTGAAGCCCAACTAGATTGGGGAAGGGTTTTCCTTGCTGTCCTCCGTGGGAGGCTGAAGCACCAGAGATGGTGCCCTCTGCTCTGTCCTCCCCCCAAGTCCCTTGGTGTGTGATGATTCCCCACCTGTCTTCCACCAGGAACGCAGGGCATTCTATCTGGGGCTGTTACCCCCTTTTAGCCTCTCAATAACCCTGTGAGGTGGGTTATTGAAAGGAGAGCCAGTTTGGTGTAGTGGTTAGGAGGACGGACTCTAATCTGGGAGAACCAGGTTTGATTCCCCACTCCTCCACATGCAGCTGCTGGTGTGACCTTGGGTCAGTCATAAGTTCTTTCAGAGCTGTTCTCTCAAGGGCAGTTCTTGGGAGAGCTCTCTCAGCCTCACCAACCTCACAGGGTGTCTGTTGTGGGGAGGGGAAGGGAAAGGAAATTGTAAGCCACTCTGAGACGCCTTTGGGTAGTGAAGGGCGGGGTATAAATCCAATCTCCTTCTCCTCCTCCTCTGTCTTCTTCATCTTCTTCGTCTTCTTCTTCTTATTGATAGCAGGAGAGCAACTTGCCTAAGGTCTCCTGGTGATCTTCTGGCTGAGCAGAATTAGAAGCTTAGTCCCCTTAGACCAAAGTCAAGCCCACCCAGGCTGTTTAAAAAGAGGGAAAGGTCTGTGCGTTTTTGAGTCATTGCATGTGAGGCTGAAATAGCATTTGCACTTCCCGGCCTCCAAAGCTGTCTCATATGGACCTTTGGCTTATTTATTTAGAATATTTCTGTCCTGCCTGTCCTACACAACAAATCTCCGAGATGACTGGATATTTATGCTGGCCACAAACGTAAAATTAAAAGTAAATATGTGAAATAATCAAATGAGTTAATCTAATCTAACAGAACACAGATGCAGGACAGAGAATATAAATCAGTGGGTGTTTTCCCTGCCCCAAGCTTTCCAGAACAGCAACATTTTTTATTTTTCGCTAATGGGAAAGCAGTGATGGGGTGGGCAGACCTTACAAATAGCTCTCCCGTTTCATATCAGATGCACTTCGGAAGAATCAAGGGTGCTTTGAGCTGTCTGTATGCATTTGCTTATTGCTAGGTAGACAAGCCTGGTCCCGGCTGTGTGGTTGCAAGCGGAAAGGCATTCCCTGCGACACCCTGCGACAGCCAAGTGGGTGAGTTGGTTTAGGAACTGGTTCCCAGGTGCACAGGAGCTGGTTAAGATGCTGAACTGCAGGCTGTGGAAGGTCAGTAGTTCAGCAGTTCGAGACCCGGGTGCCGCATGATGGAGTGAGCTCCCATCTCTAGTTCCAGCTCCTGCCAACCTAGCAGTTCGAAAGCAAGAAATTGCAAGTAGATAAATAGGTACCGCTTTGGTGGGAAGGTAACAGCGTTCCGTGCGCCTTGGTGTTAAGTCATGCCAGCCACATGACCACGGAAACGTCTTCGGACAGTGCTGGCTCTTCGGCTTTGAAACGGAGATGAGCACCGCAACCCTAGAGTCGGATTTGACTGGCTTTCGAGCAAGGGAATCTTTACCTTTACCTTTACTCCCAGGTGCACAACCTCGCTTGACCTGTAGCTGAATGTGTGGGTAAGGTC